ACGAACGTATTTTAAATGTTGTTGTCACACTTTGGATCTCCTGCTTTCACTTTTGTTACTTCAAGTATATATGATACCAAAATAATCAAGGTATTGCCCTTTGATATCATGCATTTTTTCTCCCATAATCTATATAACAAAGAGAAGTACTATTCTAAGAGATGCAATGAATAATGGTGTCAAAATGTCCTTTTGAATGAATGGTTTTGTGTCCTGGGGAGTATATACCAAGATATTAAATTGCTGGGTCATTTGGCAACTCTATTCTTACTTTTATTTTTTTTATAAAAGATTTTTATTGAATCACCATGAGATACATTACAAACCTTTCATGATTGAGTTTCAGTCATCAAATGTACATGACTTTACCATAACATATAAATACTATGAAAAGGTAAAAACTTCAATGTTAGGTGTGACTCTAATAAATCTTCTTCGTTCTTCATCACTGATTATGAGTTATATCATAAACAAAAGCCATCCTCTTTAGTGCATGAGTACTAAATAATAATATAAACGTATTCACACATATACACACATTCTTACAATTATTATTCTGAGAAATTTAATCTTAAATTTAAGTGTATCATATTATACATGTAATGATTATTTTAATATCACTGTATCACTGTCATCCCATTGTTCATCAATTTACTCGAGTAGGTATCAGTAATGTCTCTACTCGTCACAGCCCTGAGATTTTGGCAGACTTTCCTTACTCGTCTTTCCCAATGATTGGAGGCTCTTTCAGGGTCAGGGGAATGAGACCCGTTATAGTTTCTGGTTTAGGCATATTGAATATGACATGGGTAGCTTGCCAGGCTCTGTCTGTGTGGGCAGGATACTCTCGGGAGCTTGCCAAACACACCGAGAGGCATATAATATATATTTCTCTCTATGATCTATTGCCTACTGCCTGAACTTTATCAAACATGGTGTGGCAATTGTGGACAATGGGTAGGAAATATCCCGTGTTGTGTCGCACAGCCACAAAGCAGCTGCAAGGTCCGGAAAGTGACCTGGAACTTCATGGTGGTCGGGTAGTGGAGGTTGACTGCCGAGGATGGGTCCCTTGGGGTGGGGAGGGCTCTCACCCGCCCCCGCTCTGGGGCTCCCCAAGTGGAAACAGCCTGGCACAGAGTCCGGTAGCATGGTTATGGGGCCTTCCCTTTATACTCCCGTCTGGGAGGAGCAGCCATGAGTTCTGGAGGGTGGTCAATGAGGTGATTATCTGGTGCCAGTAGGGTGTGGCTTCTGGGTGACCCCAGAATGACCCCAGGTCACCGAAGATTTAGGGAAGCAGGCAGGTCCCATTGATTCCAAAGTCCAAGGTCACAAAGTTCCACATTACCTGGGTTCTGTGGGACTTTAATATATCCTTCTGAAAAAATAGGCAATTAAAATAACTGGCATACTTCTCCACTGTCACCCCCTATGTATGGCAAACTGAGTAATAACTTAGCCTAGCACATCCTAAGTCAAAACAATATTTTATTTATCTTTTTCCAGAAAGTATAAAATAAATGCAGAAAAAAGAGATAGGATAAGTATAAAACAATGTTTATGCCATGCTTACAAGTGACTTGAAATTCATATATCTTTTTAATCCATGATGTAACTTTCTATTAAATAAATATAGATAACATTTAAAATCTTTGGAAATGTCTTCAATAGTAATCCGAATCTTCAAAAAATACATGCTGGGTCAGAGAGATAGAAGAGTAGTTAAGTAAGAGCCATCCCTGAGCATACAGCCAAGAATTAACACAGCTGGTGAAGCCTCAACCAAAACAAAAATTTTAAAATGAGGAGTTTTTAATTGTAACTAATGAATGTATATGCATTATGAGTGTAAGTTTTTGTGCACATACATGTGCATGCACACACACAAAGTAAAGGCAGTTTTCCTCCTGAATACACTGTGTTACAAAGACTGAAATGACAATTAGAAGAAAAAATTTTGCATGAAAGAGCAAGAGAGTTTTTATTTATATTAAATAAGAGCAAACATTATTCTACCATATACATAACAATCATTTAAAAATAAATGAAAATTGTATAATTCTTCAGGTATCACTGCACTGTAGCATTGTCCTCCCATTGTTCATGGATTTGCTTGAGTGGGCACCAGTAAAGTCTCCATTGTGAGACTTGTTGTTACTGTTTTTGGCATATAGAATATGCCACAGGGAGCTTGCCAAGGCTCTGCCGTGTGGGCGGGATACTCTGAGTAGCTTGCTGGGCTCTCCGAGAGGGATGGAGGAACTGAACCCGGGTCCACCTCGTGCAAGGCAAACGCCCTACCTGCTGTGCTATTGCTCCAACAATAAGTGATCACTCCAACGATTGTATAATAAAATACTTTTTACTAATTAATTAGAAACACTTTTTGAGGGGAAAGGAGATAGTACAGGAGATAGTAAGATGTTTGCCTTACACATATTGAACCTAATTCAATCCCCAGCATCCCATCTGGTCACCTGAGTTCCGAATATAAGTGATCCCTGAGAGCAGAATCAGAAAGAAGCCCTAAGGCCACCTAGATATGACACAAAATCAAAACAACCCTAAAAGTAGAAACATTATTTGAAAAGCTTTAAAAAACCAGCTATCCCAAACCGTCCAAGAATTTTTAAAAAATACTTAAAGTTTCTTTCTCTTTCTTTTTTCTTTCTCCTTTCTTCTTCTTTCTTCTTTCTTCTTCTTTCTTCCTCCTTTCTTCCTTCTTTTCCTTTCTTCTTCCTTCCTTCCTTCAGTCCTCTCTTCTTCCCTTCCTTCCCTCTTTTTCTCCCTCTTTCTCTTTCTTTTTGCCTTCTCTTTCTTTCTCTTTTGTTCTCTTTTCTTTTTCACTCTTTCTCTTTCTTTCTCTTACTCCTTCCCTTCTCTCTTTCTTGCCACCTCCCTCCTTCCTTCCCTCACTCCCTTCCTCCCTCCCTTTCTCTCTCTCTCTCTCTTTCTGTCTCATAATTCATCATCTAGCCATGAAATAATATGAAAACTCTTATCTGTTTCTATCCAAACATAAGGACCCCACCCACAATGGGGCATAAGCTTCTCAATATGAGACAATGCCATAGTAAATGAATAGAAGTACTGAATACGATTGAGTACATGAAAAGAAAATGCAGTACTTTTTTGTTCTGAATGATCCTTTTTTATTAGTATTATTGACAATATTTAGTACATTGTGGGTTAACTTATAGAATTTCAGATTTTTATGTGTTCCCAAATATCATAAAATAAAAACGTTTAAAAACTAATGAAAAAGAATTTCATTTTATTTTCTACTGCTTTTAAACAGATGGATTTCTGAAAAGCAGTGCAATTCTTTTGGTAAATCAGAATGTCACCTGAGTACCTTTTATAACTAAAAAAATTATAACTATTGAAATTTCTCTGAAAGGTTAAAATGGCTTAAGTAAATTTGGTCAAAGTAAATGACATCAAGTGAGGGATACAAGAAAACTATTTATTTATAAATGCTTTCACTTACCATCCAAACAAGTAATTTACCAAACTATAATTTTAAGAGATTGTGATGTGATTCTGAAAAAGAGTATCAAGAACTGTAAATGGTAAAGAAGTGATGGGTGGACAAAAGAATATGTTTTGATAAAAAGATTAATCTACAGGCTCGGCATCTTAATGCCACAATCTATGGTTATGAGTAATCATTTGGAAACAAAAACTACTCTAAGTGGCTCTTGTCCTTTTCCTGCCCTCACAATACCTAACCAGCTGTAGCTGACATCAGCTAAGAAAGAATCAATGTTTCTCCAAATCAGAGGCTATTAAAAAAAAGCATCCATTGTTGACCAATCAACTCGATTCTGATAAAGTACTAAAATGCAGGCATCATTACTTAAAGCAGACAGGAAGTTAGTTTAGTCATGGTCTGAAAGAACTGCTTTATTTATAATATCTTTCAATGTAACCAAATAAAAGTAAAATTAATATGGAATGCAGAGGAAACAAAAAACCTATGTTTGGTCTTAAAAATTGACATTCAATGTGCTCAAACCAGCTTTTCTTCATGAATCTGACATCAGATTCTACTAAGGTAAGTCGGTATTCGTGAATTTTAGTATCATAAAGGAAGTCTAATTTTGTGCAGGACAAAAAACTCATTAATCATTCAGAGTTTTGTTTTAAGAAGTTTGATTTTGTGATTGTAATCCCACCATTTATTTCTAAACAAAATATTCTTTTGACATTGTATGTCATCTTACAAATATACAAATATACAGATATTCAGGATACTTGGAGTTTTCTGTATGTATGTAAAAAAGAATTTTTCTATCACACCTTTATGTAGTTATTTAATAATGAGAGTATTCTTCATTTTTAAAACACTTAAGGACTGATTTCACTGTCACTCTCAAATTACTTTCACGGGTCAGGATGACAGTGTCCACATAGGTGGATTTTTCAACTCTTCCACCTTCTTTCAATAATCTTGCTTTCTGTACATAGCTTTTACTCAGGCTAACGACCATATCTATACCAGAGTTTAGAAGATTATGCTTATGAACCATTCTTACTTTTCATAAAAAGTAACTAACCTCTTACTTTAACTGTTCTTAGTTTTAGGCTTACAAAAAGTTAAAAATAAGATAGAGATTTTCCCATCACATTCTCTCTCTCTCTCTCTCTCTCTCTCTCTCTCTCTCTCTCTCTCTCTCTCTCTCTCTCGTATATTCAACCTATCTCCACCATCAGTATCCCTTACAAAAAAAGGTAAGGCTTATGTGAAAAGAACAAAGACAAGCATATGAAAAGTGCACAGTTTGATGCCCAACACCTCATTACTCCTCACCAGTCTGTCAGCTTTGACCCCATACCTCCAAGAACTGCCTGGTCAGGTTACCAAACTCTGAGGTTTGAAGTGCATGGGAGAGAATTGCTGAAAATGCCCCAGGTCTTACCACTTACACCATTTACACCACCGGGTGAAGTTTCTATAATAAAATAATAATGAAAGAATTTACAAAAATTATTCTTTTGGAAACAGGAATGATTAAGGTATTGTTAGCTTTAATCATGCAGAGATGTTAATCATGAATCATGCGAACTCCCATGTCATGTTGCACCTGTCCTCTGAATAGAGGAACAAGTAAATAACATCCTACCTGACAATCAGTAATAATAAATTTTTATAAACCAAAAAATCCCCTTAACAGAATAGTTCATGTCACCAATAAACCTATTTAAAATATCATTATCCCCAAAGATACTTGTTAAGACTTTATTCTTGGTATTGGGCATTATATGAATTTCGCAAATATATAGTGATATGTATTCATAATAATGGTATTGTAGAGAATATATTCACTGCCTTAAACTTTCTCTGTGTTCTATCTGTCATTTCCTGATAGTCCCTGGAAACTATGGAGTCTTTTACTGTCTTGATGGTTTTGTGTTTTCTAAATTTCATGACATTGAAAACATACAATATAGCCATTTGAAAGTGGTTTCTTTGATTAAGTAATATGCCCTTATGTTCCTCCTAGGGAACGTGCTGGAGGGGGACTACCAATCAGTGCTCAGGGTGTCTGGAGGTCATTCCTGGTGATGCTCAACTTGCTGGGCCCACAGAGAATTCAATGTGAGGCCCCAGAGACTGTGGCACTGCGCCAGACCTTTGGTGCTATGGGCTACCTGGATCACTTAATGGGGTTCTAGGTGCCTCCAGGGACAAATTCAATGCTGTTTGATCCTTTTATACTCAAGAAACCATACAGTGCTAGGATAAGGAAATTGAGTATAGGTAAGACTTGCATAGAAACCTCTGTACTAAATTCCTTGTCCCTGTCACTGGAGTTTTTACGTACAGACTGCCTCCAGTCATTGGTTGAGGATTTTCAGATTGATAAATTTCCCAAAATTTCTGACCCAGGTCAAGTTTGGCTAATTTTCATTGGTTTTGGAAACAATCACTAGGTTTGAAGAAGTAAATAATGACAGCTGTTAAGTTATTAGGAGAACTCAGCATATAACGGTTCAAATAATGTGATGGAGTTTCTATCAACTTCTATTAGAAAAAAAAAACAGTTTTGGTTTGCTCTTCAAGCTCAGGTTCTCCCTGAACACATTTCTTTCTTACTGGTTTCTGTTTCTTTGCTTGCTTACTTCTAGTCTAGAGAAACCTGTTTTCTTTTGAACACATTTCCCCTTTTTCTCTCCTCTAATATCTTTCTAAGCAAGTTTTATATAATAAAAAATATCTTGCTTCACTAAAAGAAAAACACTTGTTCTCCTTATAATTCTTTTTTCAGGGCCAGAGCAAGAGTACAGAGGACAGGGTGCTTGATTTGTACAAGGCCCACCTGGGTTTGACCCATGACACTACATAGAGTCCCCTAAACCCTATCCAGAGTGATCCCCTGAGCACAAAACCAGAAGTAAATCTTGAAACTGCCTGGTCTGACCCAAAATCAAACAAACAAACAAACAAATGCTCTTTGTATTTATATATATATATATGATTCAATACAATTAATATATATAATTGATTCAAAACAATTAATGTATTACCATTTATATTAATGGTATATTATTTATATATTGCAATGCTTACAAGCTTTCATGTTTGGGTTACAATCACAAAAGGATCAAACACCCTCTCTCCACTAGTGCACATTCCCCACAACCAATATTCCCGGTATGCTCCCCCTTCGAACCCTCCCCTGGCTCCATGGCAGACAATATTCCCCATACTCTCTCTCTCTACTTTTGGGCATTATGGTTTGCAATATAGATATTGAGAGGTTATCATGTTTGGTCCATTATCTACTTTCAGCACACATCTACCATCCCAACCGATTCCTCAAGCCTGATTTTCTTAGTGATCCCTTCTCTATTCCAGCCGCTTTCTCCCCTCTGCTCATGAGACAGGCTGTCAGCTATGGAGGAATCTTCCTGGCCCTTGCATCTACTGTCCTTAGGTGTGAGCCTCATGTTATATTATTTTATACTCCACAAATGAGTGAAGTCCTTCTATATCTGTCCCTCTCTTTCTGACTCATTTCACTTAGCATGATACTCTTCATGTCTATCCACTTATAAGCAAATTTCATGACTTCATCTCTCCTAACAGCTGCATGGTACTCCATTGTGTAGATGTACCAAAGTTTCTTTAACCAGTCATCTGTTCTAGAGCACTTGGGTTGTTTCCAGATTTTGGCTATTGTGAACAGTGCTGCAATGAATATATAGGTACAGATGTTATTTCTACTGTGCTTTTTTGCATCCTCAGGATATATTCCCAGAAGTGGTATTGTGGGGTCATATAGAAGCTCAACTTCTACTTTTTGAACAACTGTTCATATTGTTTTCCAGAAAGGCTGGACTAGTGGGCATTCCTAACAACTTATTACAAAAGACAAATTTACCATCCCCTAAACAATCAGCAGTACTATTCTTTCCCTGCTTTAATCATTATTTAATATTAATATTTCACTTATTTTTCTCTGTTCATCTGAATGTAAGCACCCTAAGAACTAGGATTTTGCTGTATAATTCACCATTCTTTCTCTAGTACCTAAAATGAGTATAGATCATAATACTGGCACTCAGCTAATATTTGGAAAATGAAAGAATTAATGAATAAGTTAAAAATTCAGTTTAGGTAAAGGTAAAGGTAAAGGCCCTCCCGTTGATCCTTGATTTGCTCGAGCGGGCCCAGTAACGTCTCCATTGGAGACTGTTGTTACTGTGTTTGGCATATTGAATACTCTCGGTAGCTTGCCGGGCTCTCCGAGAGGGGCAGAGGAATCGACTCGGGTCGACCATGTTGGCCGCTTGTAAGGCGAATGCCCTACCGCTGTGCTATCGCTCCAATCCCAAGAATTCAGTTTAATAATTGGTATTATATTATGTATTATATTCAGATTACCTAATTATAAAAAATTTAGATAAGAGAAAAAGGTACAATTCTGTTAAAGACTTTTCAATTTTTTATTTTTTATATAAATAAAAAACATAGGAGTCTCCCGGTGGACGATTCCATAACGTAATAGACCACATCATATTCAATTGAAGGTTTTGCCTGACCGATGTCGCTGTTGTCCCAAAATTTCGAACGGGATCGGACCACCGTCTCCTTCGTGCAAAATTCTACTTCACAGAGTGGGGAGAAAGGGCTGCAAAGTTCAAAAAGAGAAGTCCCAGAATGACCACCAACTGGGAACTCTTTGGCACTATTGCGGCAACATGGGAAGATACCATTGTTGGCAACATTGACGAGGAATACGATCGACTGTTTCAGCACCTCCATGAATGTGCGTGGAACGCCAAGAGAAAGATAGCCACCAAAAAAGCCTGTCTTTGAAAACTCTTGAGCTTATTCGCCAGCGTGGTTTGGTGCATGCCTCAGGCAACCGCAAGCTAACGTCCGAGCTTGCAAAGCAGTGCAGAGATGCGATCAAGGAAGACCTCAAAGAGAGAAGAGCAAAAGTACTGGTAGATACGGCAGAAGCCGGGAAAAGTATTCGTAAAGCCCGCCTGTCCTTTGCCAACTATAAGACCAAGATGACTGCCCTCCAACGTCCTGTTGGATCCATCACATCCTCCAGAACGGCAATGGAGAAGATTATCCATGACTTCTACTCAAATCTCTTCGAGAGCCATGTCCACTTGCCGACATACCAAATTCCACAGGATGGATATGTCGTTCCCAACGTTCTCCCTTACGAAATCCGACACGCCATTTCGTCAGTAAAGAAACGAACAGAACCCGGCCCAGACAAGGTCAGACCTGAACACCTGAAGAACCTGCTGTCAGTACTCATCAATACACTGGCTCGGCTCTTCACTCGCTACCTGTCTGAATGCAAGGTTCTGTCCCAATGGAAAACCAGCAGGACCGTACTACTGTTCAAGAAGGGAGACATCCATGACATTGGCAACTATTGCCCAATCTGCCTATTGTCTGTCATCTACAAGTTGTTCACTCGAGTCATCCTAAATAGGATTGGCAGAACACTAGATGAAGGACAACCATGCGAGCAAGCCGGGTTCCGCAAAGGATTCAGCACCATCGACCATATCCACACAATAACCAAACTCATTGAGGTTTCTCGGGAGTTCAAGATGCCGCTCTGTTTAACGTTCATTGATTTAAAGAAGGCCTTTGATTCTGTTGAGACGGAAGCGGTCATTGAAGCCCTAGCCAATCAGGGCATTCAAGCCCAATACATCAAGATCCTCCGTGAACTGTATTGCAGATTCACTACCAGGATCTCACCATTCTACAAAGAAGTGATCGTTGATGTCAAGAGAGGGGTGCGGCAGGGTGATACCATTTCACCGAAACTCTTCAGTGCCACCCTTGAGAACATCATGCGACGACTGGAATGGGAAGGAATGGGAGTGAAGATAGATGGTCGGCAACTACACCACCTCCGCTTTGCTGATGACATTGTTTTAATAACACCAAACATCAGCCAAGCAGCACAAATCCTGGCCGACTTTGACCGTGAGTGTGGAAAGGTAGGACTACAGCTGAATCTTACGAAGACAATGTTTATGAGAAACAGCCTCGTTCCTGATGCCCCATTCGCTCTCATCTCCGAATGCAACAGCTATGTGTACCTAGGTCGAGAAGTCAACATGACAAATGACCTGGCACCCGAGCTGCGCAGGAGGAAGAGAGCGGCTTGGAACGCCTTCAAGAACGTCGAAGAAATAGCTAAGAGGACGAAGAACCTCCGGCTCCGGGCACATCTCTTTGATTCCACTGTTCTTCCTGCATTAACATATGCCTCAGAGATCTGGGCCCTACGCAAACAGGATGAGAACGCTATTCAGGTCTCCCAAAGAAGAATAGAAAGAGCTATGCTTGGAATGTCACGTTTTACTCAAATGAGAGAAAAAATCTGGAGTTCCGACATCCGTCGACGATCAAGAATCAGGGACGCTGTCTCATTTGCCAAGGTGTCAAAAATCATATGGGCTGGTCACGTAATGAGATTTAAAGACGACCGCTGGACTAGAGCTGTTACTGACTGGATTCCACGGGATGTCAAAAGACCGCATGACCGGCCACCTACCAGATGGTCAGACTTCTTCGTGAAGATCAAGAACGATCGGTTTGAGGCTCTTCATGTTCCCAGAGCGAACAGATGCCATTGGGCTAC